TGAAGGGCGCGCAATGAGAAACAGTTGAGATAACTCGATGAGATGCTGAATTGAAGAAATATTGTTTGTTTTTTTTGTTTTTTTTTTTTTTTTTTCACAATCGACGCGATATCAAAGCGATGGCGAAGCAAATCTTTTGATTTTTCTTAACAAGGAGAAATTATATTGCGCATATATTGTTAATATTTAATTATATTTGTCTACACACATTGATATTATCTGCACAAAGAACGCACATACGCTTCTGACTTCACACAATTTCCCAAACCTTGAATATATTCGTTTCACGTCTGTTTGAAAGCAAAACGTATGTATCTAATATTTTTTCTCCCCTCTCTTTCTCTCTCTCTCTCTCTCTTTCTCTCTCTATCGCAGCAGGAGTGAAACGTACGAAGCAAAAGTTAAAAAGTAAAAAAAAACGACGTGTTATTTGTATCAACGTAAACGTATTGTGTCTTCTCGCTTTACCAACACTGGCCGCGATTCGGCAGAATCGAGCGCGGAAATGAGCACGTCCTGATTATTGCTCGCCATTGGTGCCACAAACTTTTGCAAGAAAGATCCAGTGAGAGAATAAACCAATTGCAGACAATAAGCACGACGAGACGCTGAAAGTTCTGCCGAACCCGCGGCCACTTACAAAAATAAATTTTCAATAACAGTCACAGTCTGTCTTTTTTCTATTGCAGCGCATACACATCACTGTTCATCAATTTTCAGTCGTCGCATTTTTTATTGCTAGTACACGATTCCGCAATCCATTTTTTTTTGTTTATAAAAATAAATTGTTTTCTTCTCGCCCCTATCTTGAGCAAGTTGTTTGTTATTACTCTTATCCGACGTCTCTCAAAATCGCTCAACAACTCGGCGCTCCTCCTCGTCTCTCTTGTTGCGTTAAGTGCCAGAGGTGTGCGGATACTCGAAAATACAAGTGCCCGAGCCTCAGATCGAGTAATTATCGGGTAATTAACGGGTCGTATCAAACGGGATCTCGAAAGTTTGCCGTACACGTAAATTTGGTCCCGGGTACCCGTATTTTCGGGATGAAATTCTCGATTTGGAACTCGAAATTCGACTTGGGATCCGATACTCGATTTGGGACGTGACTTTTCCTACCGATCTTAAATTTTTTTAATTTGGAACGCTTCCAAGTGTTTTTTTTTTCCCGAAAATACGGGTTTTCCGAACAAATTTGTGTTCAACAAACTTTCGGGATCCCGTCCGACTCGATCCGTACTTTCGAATATCCGACACCTCTATTAAAATACCAATCGCTAAATTTGTCAATAACTCGCGTCTTCGCGGAAAAACAAACAAACAAACAAAATATACATATTAACTGTCCTAGTTTCTTCTAGTTGAGCGCTCTCCCGCTTTCCAAGAAGATATCAGTCTATATAAAAAAAAAAAAAAAACCATCACACGTCTTCTTATCTCACGCGAATTTGTTTCATTAATTTAAAAACGAGATCTCTCCGCAAGTAATAAATACAAGCAAGCATTAGCACTAAAAAAATAACCGCTATATTAACACGAGTTCTGTTAAAATAGCTTTTGCATCACGGAAAAAGAGTTGATCGAATATTTCATCTACTTGCGCTTTTTATCTACAGCTAGACTCATATATATATATATATATATATGTATAGACATAAGTTACAAAATAACCTACTTTAAATGCATTTGGCATGTTTTGTTCTTACTTTGAAGCTTGTTCCAGAGTGCTGCTGTCACAATCCAATCCTGCACGACACGCACAGAACCGGTTACATCAACATCGGTTTACATTAACTCTTGTTAAATAGCTTAAACTATGTATAGTATATTTTTACGGATAATGTGTCTAAAAAACAGACGAATTTCTCAACCGGTATCAATTGCTAGATCAGATCCTCCTTAACATTCTCTAACCGTTAATACTACTCGTTTTGCAGGTATTGTATTTTTAAAGCCGGTCTTTGTTAGTTTTCTTAAAACTCTCACAAGTTCTAGTGTGTGTGTGTGTGTGTGTGTGTGTGCGCGCGATTATATATATGTATATATGTATATATATATATATATATATATATCTGTCTTTGGTCTCTTTTTGTTTTTGTTTTTAGCTATTTATATCCGTTTCTACCTTCATCTCCAAATTGACTTGATCGATTATTAGTCAACCGCGATTGGTTATTTCAGCCAATCGACAGATACGATATTAATCAATCGATTAAGTTAATCGGAGATAGTGGAAACGGGTATTGATCCTCAATAACAAAATCATTCTATGAAAAATGCACATGCGTTAAAAAAGTTTTACACACTTTGCTCTATTTGATGATTCAACGCTGTTTTTTTTAGAATTTAAGTCTCGACATCGACATATTTTTGAATAATCATTTTTTTCCAATATTTAATAGTTTTTTTTTTTTTCGCAAAATGTTGGAGTTCATTTCGCAGATGCTATTCCAGATGCGGTAAAATCTAAAGCGACGCGAAACTTTCTTCAACATGCACATCGGACTGAGACTAGTCTTCGAGGAGACTTTGTTTCACCGGGAGCGTTAACCGACGCACTACGCAAATCGAAATCTAACGCTCGTGTGTTAGTTCCTGGACCCGTGTTGTTCTAGCGCAGATCGATCACCCGCACACTCTCACCTGTCATCACTTCGTCCTGTTCACAACAACGTTCGGCTTTGCGTGAATGCTCTGCCTGTTGGACTTGCTTCTGCTGGCAATCGTCGAGGCGTCCATTACCGATCTCCGGCTCTTATCTCCAATTCTGTCTGTCTTTTGCGTTTCTTCGCCATCCTTTGCTTTGTTCGTGTCCAACTTTTGAACGCGACTTATCGGCTTGGATGTAACCTTTCCTGTCTTCGCTTCGCCCTCGTACGTCTTCCTCAACGGTTGCGGTGTGTAATACAAACTAAATCGTTTTGTCCTCGTCGACGGTGTGTGTCTCACCTCGTCGCGCAATTCGTCCGTCGAACTGAACTTCCGCGTTGCGACTTTATCACCGATCTCTTCAGGCGACTTTTTCGCCGCGTACGCGGAAAAGCAACTGTATCTCTTATTGCTCTTAATGTTTCTTGAGTCAACTTGATTTTTCTTGTTAATGTGTCGCAACTTTACCAGTTCGTTCTTCGCACACTTATTCGTTTCCCTCGAATTGCTATAGTTTCTTTTTTCAGGCTGATTATCCAATTTAGATTTCGCGTTCAACGCGGTAATCGGATGGGCTTGCAGTATTTTTGTGGCAGATTTCTTCCGATCTTGATTGATCGCTAACTTGGAAGAGATTTGCGGGGTACGATCCGCGAAACAGTTGTTCCGATTCGGATACCGAAAGCTCACGTTCTCGAAGCTGTCCGTTGACTCCATACTCTGCGTCGAGCTCGATTTTTGTCCGCGTGCCAATTGCGCGAATTGAATGTTCACGAAGCTGTCGGACGTTTCGATGTCATTGCCGGTCGAACTGTCGGCGGCCAGACTGTCGCTCGACGTCGACACGGTTGCGTTGCTATTGCGAAAGTCGTCACTGTCGAATCTGCTCTCGTCATTGAAGTTCGGTCGAACGCTTTTAGTCTGTTGTTTCGCAGCGATTATTTTACTCGGCACCTTAAACGTGTCGTAATTGGAGTCGCTGCAATTTGATTTTCTCGACAAGTTCCCGTTCTTCTGATCTCCACGATGATTCCTCGGAGTTGTAGCAGCCTTTTCGATAACCTCGTCGCAATGAAGTGGCGAGTCGCTGCGATAGCACGCGTTCAGATCCTCCGGAATGCTGTTGCGCGATGAGGCGGCGCTTCGCGACATAAGACGACGTCGAGGGATTCGGTTGTCATTCAGCTTGTCTATCAGATCGTGCATCGATTGACTGAGGTTGTTGATATCCTTCAAATAATCAACACTGAAGAATACAGAAGAATCGTTGGCCTCGCTGTGATTGCCATTAGCGAAGTCAGTCTCGTCGCTATCCTGCTTATCCGGTTTTCTTTGAATATTAAGAGGATCGAGCGCAATCAAGCCGTCCTTCCACTCGGATCTCGTCTTGGCGTTGTCATTCTGCCGTTGACCGCGCTGCTTCTTGAAGTCGAATTCGAAAGTGGCCAGCTTTATCGGCTTACACTGCTGATTCCAGTATTGCTCCGCCGGTGCGTCGGTGGTTGTTGCTGCGGTCTGCTCGCCTCCTAGAAAGCTCTGCTGATATACAGAGGCGGGGCAAAAGAAAAGAAAAAGCACTGCTACAGATACAGCAAACCACTACGGAAGCTTTCTTAGTTTCGTGATCGAGAAATAAAGCCGATAAAGCAAGAGGATTGCGACAGGTGAATGTTCGCTATATATTGCTACGCTCGTGACACGAAAATTCTATCTGTTAGATCGTGTAACTAAGGAAATTTCATCAACAAAAAATCTTTCAAAACGATATTTAAACAATCAAGTTAAAAAAAAAGTTTATTTTGTACACTATAGAGAAATGTATAATAAAATATATAAATTATACACAAAAAACTTAAGCACATTTGTTATCGAAATTCCGAACGTTACACTTCTAGACGTGGTGCCACCTTCTCCACGTAGCGTGGCGTGACAAGTTGGAAAAAAACTGAAAATTATATCGTGCCCAAAATAACAAGTGCGACAGCAAAAATGTGACGTGTGTGTGTAGGCGAAATCGTCAGATATTAAATTCATCTTTTAACATAAGTGTGTGAACAAAAATTGAAGGCTAGTTAAAGCCATGCGGGTGCAGCGAACGCGGGAAAGGAGTGGATTTTTTTCTAACTTTAAGATAACAATAACAACGTTCTATGTCAGTGACAGTTACCGCGAGCCATGGATGGTCCAGAACGTCCTCGGCGCTGAAACGCAGCTCTGGCTGTGGCTGCAACATGTTCGAGATCAGTTGCTTCGCGGAATCTGATATATTTTCCCAATACGGCCATGTGAATTCATACTGGCCACTCAATATACGCTCGAACAATTCCTCCTGCTCGTTCTCCAGCGATACGAAGGGAGGAAAACCGCATAAAAGAATGTACAGGATTACTCCGGCTGCCCACACGTCAATCTAAAAACAGATAAGATTTATTAAAAATATAAATATACTAAATAATTGAAAGAAAAATTAATTTTTTATAAGTATAAAAGAGAGAGAGAGAGAGAGAAAAGTCACGTTTATATCTTATAAAACTGAATTAACCTTCAAACCATATCCAGTTTCGGCGAGAATTTCAGGTGCCACATAAGTGGGTGTACCGCAGACTGTGTACAAGGGCTCACGCACGACCTGTGCGAGTCCGAAATCGCCCAGTTTTAAGCACCTGATGTGACTGCCGTCCATCTCAACCAAAAGATTTTCCGGCTTGACATCACGATGTACGATGTGATGCGAATGCAAGTAAGCCAATGCAGAAGTTAGATGACTAATCATCACGCTAGCTTCCGCTTCGGAAAATTTGGTCGCAGCCGCAATTGCGTCAAAAAGATCGCCACCCTGAAAAATAGATATTGTAATTTTTTTGTACTTTTTTTTAATACGTGCGAGTACTAGGTAGAGACTTAAGTTGTTGATCGCGACAACGCACTTTAACAAGTTCCATAACTAAAAACAGTTGATCGGCAGTCTCTTGTTCTGCAATTAAGCTTATTATGTTTGGATGGCAAACTTGTCTCAGAATTGCTACTTCGCTTGCCAACATTGTTTCTTTTCCTTGACATTTGTGTTTATCCACGATCTTCATAGCATACGCGTCACCAGTAAATCTGCAAGAAATATTTAAAAAATTTTGCATCTACATAGGTTTTAGTAAAGAAAGCAATTTTTTTCATAAAGTATGATAATTGTTAGTTTTTATTTTAATTAAATGTCATATTTCTTTTCCAGGAAACACATTTTAAGTTCAATTTTAAAGCTTTCAAGTTTTTCCATTCACTTAATATACTCACTTATGGACGCATTGTCGAACTACGGCAAAATTCCCATCTCCGATCACAGGTCCTACGGTATAGTGCAACCTCAAAGGTTGCGGCAGTATTAAGGACGACGGACTGGGAGTTCTGATTTGCGGCGTGGTGAGTATCTTCTTGCCGGATTTCCTTGGCATTCGCGGCATCGGACCGCTCTGTCGCTTAGAACTCCAAGGACATCGTCGAAAACTTTGTACATATTTGCTCTCTTCAAAATCCAACTCGAAATCCTCCTGTACAGACTTTTCGGGACCGTACGCCACAAAGATGTCATCGTTCTCAAAGAATTGCTCAAGTGACGTAACTTGCTGGCCCGACAATGTATATACCTTCCTCACAGCCCCGGAGTCAAGCTTCACCGCTTCCGTAATCGCTTCCATTGCGTGCTCGAGACTCGGTGCATTGCGTTTATTTAACAACAGTCGTACTACCTTGCGCGGTTTGGTACCGTGGCGGATCAGCGTCACGATGCGCGCTTTCACACACAACGGAATGGCGCTGGTCTGCCTGCCGGTGCCACCGCTGCCGCTGCCAGCTGCTGGCGACTGTGGCAATCCGGATAGAGAACTTCCCCGGCGAACCTTAGATGCCGAGTATTCTACCTTTTTGAAAATTTCACCCTGGCCGGACACCACGTAGCACTTGCCATCTTCCAAATCGCTGACGCTCTGCACCTTGCGACCGTCCATAGTGTAGATCGTTCGAACGCCATTTGGCAAAGTCACGCTCGACACGAGGGCACGTGTTAGATCAGATGCGAGACTGTCAAAGCTGCGGTATCTCTCTTGCGTAACCGCCATCACCACACCGGTATAATATTTGTCTCCATTGCGAAAGAATCGAACTCGTTTAGCTTTTTTGGTCGGAGGTGTTCTGAGAACGCTCAAAGAATGCGATGTCCTCGATGTGATGTCCAATATTCTCTCATCTAGACTGACTATGGTAGATGAATTGAGATCGCCATCGCCACCTGCTGAAAAGTTGCCGTCGCTGGATGGTGAGGCACCTTGACTCAACAGTTCCTCCATCATTCTAAAGGAAAATTGCTTGTATTATCATGGGAAATAAAAAAGAAAATGACTACATTTTTTTTGCTGTAACAGATTTTCGTACATCCTTCATGAAAGGTATTTCTAATACGAGTTATCACGTTACATATTTAACTATCAACTAATTAGTACACAGATTAGAATCATACGTTCGGCACATACGTACACATATTCGTGCTTGTTGTAAAAATCGTACAATAAAATAAACAAATCCAAAAACTACTACACAGGTTTGGGTTCTTATCCTCTATCCCACCCTTTTGTAAACACAAAGTCACCTGACAAAACTTGTGACTCTCTCTCTCTCTCTCTCTCTCGTTGCTGATAAATCAACGAGATTTGCAAAATGTCACATTCCAGCTTTTTTATCCCTTCATCGACAGCGGTATGAGTCATACCTTAGAAAGTGCGCGTTCGGCGAATACAAATGGACGCGAATAAAAAAAAAAATGACACCTGGCACTCGTGAAAACCTCGACAAAACGCCGCAGTTAAACGCCGACAGAAGCACAGAAATAATAATCTGCGTGCGTGCGTGCGTGCGTTGCGTGTGCCGGAAATTGATATCAGACTGGACGGACGCGGGAGGGGAAGGAGGGCACAGAAGAGGGTGACAGAATGCTGGGAGATATACCGAATACACACCCCTAACCTCACTTTTGCTAGATTCGTTAACGTATTTATGGTATATATTATGCCGACGATTCAAAGCGACGCGAGCGGTGACGTATTTCGAGCGTCTTCCGCACACTTTCACTCACCTGCCCGAACAGCGGGTTCTATTCTCCAATTTTGCAACGCATGCGTTAAAAACGACACATTATTAAACAGCCGAATCGACTCTCATCATCAGTTTGACATTATTCGGCATTATTATCTGCGCGTTTACGTTTTATTACAAACACACTTTTGCATCCTATTTAGCTCGTCCGGAAAACGCACAGCGTGCTGCCCCGTTGATCTCGAGAATTGCAATCGCTCCTCGATGTCTTCGATCGACTTCCAACTGTCACGAAAGCAGCAACACGCGCCATCTAGCGCGAGATGGAACTCTGGATAAAAAATAGCGGCAACCGCCAAGCGACTTCGTCAAGCGGCTTTATTCGTCACATTTCGTCATCGTTACAGAGCTCGTTATTTCACTCTGCTCGTTAATTTCACTGATTTCACGGTAAGCTCTGGATTTTTTAAACATCCTATTTTTAAAGCAAAACAACATAATTAGCATTTATGTTTATATATTATTTATTTATTTTAGCCGTTTTGCTACAAAAAAAAAACACTGCGGTTTGCTGCGCGTGACAGTTGTCGCATGTCACAGTTGTCCAAACGGAAATCTCTCAATGAATGAGCACACGAAGCTGCGCCAGGCGTTATTGGATTGAAATGTCATGTTCGGACGATTCTCAAAATTCGATATGCAAAATTTTATTTCGTCATTTGTATTTAATCGATAACCCATGTGTCTAGTTAGCAACTCTTTAATGATTGGCAATTATACGAAATTTGATTGATTTTTTCTAGTTAACATTTTCGCTTACTTCTGACGTTATATAGTAGGCTAAGTTTTCATGGCAATATTTTATTTTAAAGAGTCTTTTAATTGGTATTCTTCTGAAAAACAAATTGACGGATGTTTTGAATGCCAATCATTGAAGGGTTTCTAATTGTAGGCTTGGTTTACGTTCTATAATAATAAATATTCTATAATAATATAAATTAATTATTTGTCTTTCATTAATTAATTAAGAACAAATTACGTTTTTGTCAGATAACTGTGGATGTTCAACCCTGATCGAATAATTCAAAATTTTCCTGGGCAGTTCGCAGAAATTTTCCTCCGTGTTTGTATTATTCTTTGTTTCTACATTATTTATTTGTTTCAAACAAATTATTTATTTGTTTCAAGTCAGATATGAAGTAAAACAAATATGCTACAGCTTCTTCGTAAACTCCTCTCATAAACTCGTGCGTTTCATTAGCGTGAGATGTCTATTGTCTATCGGTTTAGATAAGAGTAAGAAAAATGCTCTCTTGCCTCGTATCCTGACTTTCGTACCTGGTGCGCAGGTAAACAACGCGCACGGCGAGCAGGTAACTGTAGTAGTCATCAGGTAGTTCGCACAACGTCGGTAGTGGGGGACAGAAGGAGGGGAACCCGATGAGAGGCGGCGGCCGTCTTCGCAGCACAACGGCAGCGGCGGTGCGGCTCGCAGTCTCGTTTCGGCGATCGCTCGCAGTCGGTCGGAGTTGGTGCGCGCGTGGGTGCAAAGGTGAACGATTGGAGAACAGAAGGGAGAAAAAAAAAAAAGAAGACCTCAGGACGAAAAGTTTCGCGCGAACAGCGAGCGAGGTAGCTTTAGGCGAGGCGAAGGTGAGGATTTAATTGGCAAGGATGTCAAGTGCGTGAGAGAGAAGAAACAAGAAGAAGAGGAGAGCCGGAAAATGCGGGCGCGACACGTCGTAGCAGGTGAGTCAAAGCCCCCCTACTTCCTTGAGCCGTGGCGGTCGCCATCGTTGTATGTAAGAGAGCGTCGTTGAGCTCCGCGAATCCTGACCGAGAGATGCGAAAATCCGAGAGCGCGTTCTTCTCCGCGCGCTTGTGTAATATACTGAAAAAAATATTTAAAAACTTTGTCACTTTCAAGAGATTGCTCTTAACTCGCAACTGTGCGCTCGCGAAATTGACGGACGTTGTTAAATCCTCGATCGAAGAGAAACAATTCGCAGTCGAGGATCGAGATATGGCGATCTGTCTATACGGTCGATTCGCGTTACAGATACAAACTGGAGTCAAAGCCTCGGTCCATACTGACTCTCGTCTAAGTGCTCTGCGATGAATTCTATGTGGAAGATCACATCGATCGAGAAAATTCTCATGTGGGGGGGAGGTTTTAAAACGCGACAATTTTTGCAAAGGTTCTAAGAATTTTCGGAAATTTCTGAAATCGTAAGAATTGTAAAAAAAAAGATTTGGAATGAAAAAAACTTACGCGAGAGCAGGTATCTAGGGACAAAAAATGTTTAGTAGCATTTTTTGTGGATTATCTACTGACTCGATAAGTGCGCGATTAGAAGAGATTTTTTTTCTTGCACGCTTCTCAGAACACACTTTTGTCCGATATTTCGATCTCAATCGGACGTTTTCTGGCAATGGATATTGTGTAACACGAGATAAATTGTCTCGTCTGTAATAGTAATCAACACAACAGATAATTATGACAGAAAAACGTCAATATGTATATTGAGAAAAGACAATACGATAAAGAGGAAAACCAAACTGTGCGAGCCAATGTGTACACGTGTTTATTGGTTGGCAAAGGAAATAAAAGTTGATTTAGAATTTAAAAATATAAATCATGTAAAAAATTATACACTTACAAAATTCAAACAAGATGTGAGAACAACGTTTGAAGTTCAAAAGTTGTATAAATTTGAATTTCGAGTATTATATAATATTTCTGACAAATTGTCGACATCTTCCTTTTATCCTTTTGTAAAACGGTAAATTTTTGTGTTCGAATCGTATCTTGTCATTGCACATCTGCAGTGTGTTCCGTAACGTACAAGCAGACGACGCGATAACAAGAATGCTGAATCTATTGAAATCTCCCACGAGTGAGTTCAATACCGGATCACAAGACAAGGAAAATTTTTCTCAACGCGCGATGGATCGGAGATCGAACTTAATTATTCGCATCAAATTTTCGAATTAATAATTGTAGAAAACATTTTTTTTTTTTTCTCAATTTCACTCACGCAAATTGTCTTCCGCGCGAAATGTACGTACGTGACGATGAAAAGATTCTGATTGCGTGCGATGCAGTATTAATCGCGAGCCGTGCTGGTCGATATTGTTTCCGTGCAACGAACTTCTCACAAGACGCTCGTGAAAAGTAGAACGATTCAATATGGTTAAAAGTAAAAGTGAATCGAGTGAAAAAAAAATGAGAAATTATTTTTATTTTAATGTTTTAATCGACGAGGTATTTTGGCACGTGGGTGGTCTGACAAATTTGATAAATCTCTGAGAAATGATGCTACAATTTATTTAATTTGTTTACTTATATGATGCCTGGAAAGTTCTGCTCCTCAAATCTTTCAGCTAGAACGCTGACGCGTTGAAAAAGTGGCAAAAAATAGAAAAAAAAATGACAAAATTACACGAATTAAGCTTTCAATTGCTTTCTTATTCACTTTCTTCTCCGGATTTGACCCTGTGCGACTTCTTTCTCAAACTTGAAAATCTGTCAGTTTTGCTGTTTTTTTTCCCCATTTTTATTAGGACTAAATCGCTCGGTTTAAGGCCGTATTCAGGGTAAGATCTCAGTCAAAAGTTTAAGAAACATAGCGTAAACCGAAGCTATTTTAATATTTAGATAATAATTGTTTGCTGGAAAAGTATTATTTGTATTAAAATAAGTTAAAAAAATTATTTATTATACTTTTAATGACTACGAAAAAGTTTTTACGTATATTTTGTGTGTGTGTGTGTGCCATTTTAATGTTCACTTTTGATACTTTTGAGTAGGATTATACCTTACTTGCAACGTAAGATAAATAAAAAATTGGAAATGTATTAATCATAAAAGTTCGTTAAAACGTAACAATTGATGTATACAATTACAAATATAATTGTTTTATGTATATTAAATATATATTTTTATTAATTTTAGCAAAATATAAATTTCTATTTTATGTGATATTCTCGAAATGACTATTTTTTCGAGTGGAATTTGTTTTTAAGATATTTATTAACAACTGCAGAACTCATGTTAAATTAAAATCGTACTAACTTTTTAACAAGACTCGCAAAGAAGCTAAAATTTTGCACAATGTTTTTTTTTTATATTATCTACTGACTGGCAAAATTTGAATAATCTGGCATATTTTTTATCTTACCCTGAATACAATCTTAAACGACTATAGAACGTGAACCACGCGTCACTTCTGGCTGAAATTTGGCCTGAAAAAGTTTGAGAAATGGAACTTTCCAGACGTTATATAATTAAATGAATGTTGGCGCCATATCATAGAAATTTACCAAATTTATCAAACTCCACGTATTGGAATTTTAATGAAAATATAACAATCACTAATTACTGTGTAATAATTGTTACATTGTTACAATTGTTGTTGATTTCTCCATCAAACCATATATTCCAATATAATTACTTCAATGTGTACGTGTGTATAAGTTGTGACAAGAAACTTACGAAATTTCTAGCGATTCTTTGTGTAGATAAAAAAAAATCGGTGAGTAATTAATTCCGCTGATGATTATGCCATCGAATCCTTGAGACGATGACGTAGTCGTGTAAGATTTTAATGATTTTATCATCGAGCAGAGAAAGCACATCTACCTTACAGTCGCTTTTTATGTCTACTCTATTTTAGTTATTTTTTTAGGATTTTATTATACTAAAGTAAAAAGTGAACATATTTCTTTTCTGAAAGAATTTTCGAGAATGATCCTCTTTCTTTGGAAGTGTTTTTTTTTTTTTTTTTTTTTTCAAGAGAAGTTTCAAGGATGATTCTCTTTCTTTTCATAGGTGTTTTACATTCTATAAACACCTGCTATGCGTGTAATGGAAATATGACTCCGAAAGGTACAAATGCTCACAGGTGGTATTCTGTTCGTCATAGTTTCACGCTAGATAACTCTTGCGCGTTACAAAGGCAACGTTTTTTTTCTGAGATCAGGATGTTCGTTAAAGAATCTCTTTTTTTGTAACGCACATATTTTTCTTTAAAAAAAAAAGCGAAAATAATGTGAACGTGATCTTTGAGCAATAATAACTCAAGCAAAAAGCGTAAATTTTTCAGTCCTGACGAGAGTGAAACAAGGGTTCAGGAAATAACTTAGGAGGTGGTGGCTCTTTCCCTGCGAGCAAACTTCCGCTTTTATGAGCACTTTTCCGGTCGCACAAAGGCGCACATTGACCGTGCGCGAACGTGTACATGAGACGTGCGCTCTTTCGTAACGGTATAAACTTTTACCTCTTCGGAATCACCGGTGTGGATCAGTGACCGACCCGAGAGAGTCACTACAATGACCTGTGAAATCGTCGTCCTCGGCCAAACGTGTCGGGAGGACAAACACTTTGCCAAATGTAAAAGACGAAGATTAATTAATTATTAAGCTTTCCCTTATATTAAACTGAGTAGTCATTAAATTGCAGCAAAGCATCATTTTCAGAAGTACGCAACATTTTTCAAGTTGGCTTATTACTCACAACGGATTTCTCAAATTACGAAATGACGTGTATAATGCGTAAAGAAAAACAATTAAACGTGGTTTTTTAAAGAAAAATTAAATAAGTACACTCGTATTGTATACAACAATATTTTTATTGTATTTAATAACCGCGACTGAAGATGAACTCAAGTACTGCTATTTATCTCAAAAATCTATTTTATGCTCGCAATTTGACCCTTTAATTAATTTTTATTTACTATTGTTATGAAGGTCTTTGTACGCGTACAAAGTGAGATTTTGTGTCTACTATAGGCTTTTTGTTGTACAGTCATCCGACTTTTCGGAGCCACAAACGTCTGCCAAACTTGGCAAAATGTCGTTTTCTTTGTTTGCTCTCTCTTTCTCTCTCTCTCTTTCTCTCTTTATGAAATATACATAGATACTTCAGAGCAAAACGAACCGGACCGCTTATCATGATCTGAGAATTCCCGTGCGTTTCTCGCAGTTGTGCTGACAATGAGTGTTCTTTTCGTATGGAAATATGAACGTGCGTTCAGATAAGCGCCGACTCCACCAGCAAGTTGTTAAAACGAAGCAATGTGCTTCGAATTTAATTTACCGCGAGAGGTTAAATTTGAAATTAATAAACAGTCGAGACAATTTGATTTTTTAATCAATACATGTATAAAAGCTAATAATAAGCATTTGTAATTTGTAAATAATAACAATACAGTACAGTCAATGTGTGTGGAGTATTTATCTAAATCAAAATATCTGAGGATCTGCTGTGCGTCAGATACGTGCAAATGCTCGAAAACGCGTTTCATTATTTTACATCGGGGCGAGTGCAAAAGTTTCAATAAATTTTGTGACAGAAAAATGGACTGAGAGTAATTTTATTAAAAAGGATTTTATTCATTCTTCATCAAGTACATCGGCGAAAGATAATGAAAAACATTGGGAATTATTTGGTAAACCAAATAAATCGTTACTCCATTTTTCTATCACGAAATTCATCAAACCTCTCCTCCTCCACTTATACAATATATAATATTTATTAAAAGAATGAATTGTATGTACATATGAACGAATACACATAAATTGTAACAGGTCGTATATAAAATTATACGTGTTTTTTTTTATAATGCTACTAAAAATATTTTTGCGAAATAATATAAAAAATATATAATATAATAATATAAAAATATATTCAAACCTTGTTTTTTCTCCGTGCAAAATAAAACATTTAAACATTTTTTTTTTCCAGTAGA